TGATGACTTTGAGAAAGTAATACATTGTTTTATATCCACTAAACTTGATTACTGCAATGCTCTGTATATTGGAGTAACCAAGGCTTCCCTGTCTCGCCTACAGCTGGTCCAGAATGCTGCTGCGCGACAGGCAGGCGTGAACATATTACGCCTGNGGCTACCAGTCTGTTTTAGGATCCAATTTAAAATATTACTGTTCGCATACAAGGCCCTAAACGGTTTAGCCCCACCGTACCTGGCAGATCTTTTAAAACGGTTTTAAAAGATCTGCCAGGTACGGTGGGGCTAAACCGTTTAGGGCCTTGTATGCGAACAGTAATATTTTAAATTGGATCCTAAAACAGACTGGTAGCCAGTGTAACGAGGCGAGTACAGGCGTAATATGTTCACGCCTGCCTGTCGCGCAGCAGCATTCTGGACCAGCTGTAGGCGAGACAGGGAAGCCTTGGTTACTCCAATATACAGAGCATTGCAGTAATCCAGTTTAGTGGATACAAAACAACTAGACAAACAGAGTTGATTTGTTTGTCTAGTTTAAAATCACGATCAATCCGTACACCATCCAGGCTCTGATGTCCTGCAGACAGTCAGACAGGCGTTGCTGAGGGTTTGTTGATTAGGAGTTGAAGGCAAGAGTGAAAAGACTAGATGCCATCTATATTTGTTACCCAATTATATCAACATTACTGTTGACTATATACAGTATGAGAATCTCATTGTATGAATAGTTGTTATTTTAAATACTTTTATTCACATTTTTACATAAAGTTGTAATTTAAAATGTAAATGATTTGATGGTGCTGACCATTCAAATATGCCGCTTAATATTCCATAAAGGGCTGAGAAAAATATTAATAATATATATTATATAGCGGTATACTGATGTCAGACTAATAATAATAATAATAATAATGATACATTACATTTATAAATCACTTTTCCTGGTGCTCAAAGTGCTTACAAGCAAGTAAAACAAAAATAACAACAAAAGTAGAAAGTGCTAAGCTAGGTGGAATAAGGGCAAGGGGTTAGTTGATTAGGAGTTGAAGGCAAGAGTGAAAAGACTAGATGCCATCTATATTTGTTACCCAATTATATCAACATTACTGTTGACTATATACAGTATGAGAATCTCATTGTATGAATAGTTTTGGAAAGCCCAAAAAGGACAACACTTTAATATTGTTGCAATATTGTTGAGGTATTTGTCAAAATAATTGTAATCTTTGATTTGACTGTACATTGACCCTAGTTCTGAGGGAGAAAACGTTTGAATAAAAAGAAGCAGCAGGATGTGGGCTATGTATTTCCTCCTTAGGGTAGTATAATACAGTAAGTGTTACTTTTGAAAATGACGTTATTGAATTGGTATGAAACATGACAAATATTTATCAAGCCATCCCTATACAAAGTCAAGAAACCGAAATTGTGTGGATAAATATGTTTCCAATATGAATATTTAGTCAATTAGACAGTGGAGAAAAATGTGATGTCTCAAAATTCAACACAATTCTGCATATCAGTTTTAAAGTATGCTGTTTTGGATAAATACTTTCTTGCACAAATTAATTTACAAATGCTTACAACAAAAGCTTTTTGCAGACCTTCATATCAAATATGTTGCATGATATTTAATATAGGATAAGCTTTATTGACCCTGCAGAGTTTACAAAGTGTAACATTATGGATGGAAATATGTTTATATAGTGTATTCTATTGAATTTAGAGAATGGAAAAAAACTCATGTCCTACATAAACTAAAAAAGGTACCTTAATATGCTTGAATATTAAAAAGAGAAAAGAGACAATTCAAAGAAAATAATGATAATGATATATATAATTGATATCAAGCTAATGAATTATTTACACTCAGATGTGGTTGTTCCAAGTCATTTAGTTAATCAATTTACATCTAGCAAAGCTCTTTTACAACTACTCAAGCTACTCAAATATTCAGATTACTAATGTTGTTTTGTCCTCAAGCAAGAGGTTAAGACAGCACTGCAACACTGCAAACAGATAGCCAGGTGTTCCCTTTAAACAGGCACCTGTTGGTGGAGTATTTATACGAGACGCAGCCACACGTCTTACAGAATAGCTCACATGCTCCAGGCGGGATCTAGATAAGCCCATTACAGAAACAGGCCAAGAGGGATAATGCCATAACCAAACCCTGAGCCAGTCACCTGACTCACTCGAGCTGAACCTCAACTCGTAGAGAAGAAATTGAAGGCTGTCAAGTATAAATATAGCAGTTTGTTGATGTTCAATGCTACTTTTATATTGTTTTTCTTCAATAAAACATGCCGAGCTGTGTCTACTCATCACATGTCACTTGTTAGATGCTTTTATCCAAAGCAACTTACATACTCAATACTGCGGGTAATCCACACAGGAGCAATTTGGGGTGAAGTGTCTTGCCCAGGGACACAACGACATGGTGCCGGCAGTGGGGTTTGAACCTGTGACCCCTTGATCCGAACACCAACACACAATCCACTGCACCACACGCCTCCTACTTCAAACACTCGTTCAAATAAATAAGAAAGGAGAGGCTCTGTTGTTCTGCCTTCTCTTTGTTTCTTGCCTTTTGTAAATACACAAGTAAACATTTAGAAACAATTGTAAAAGGTACAATCAGCCACCAGGCATCACATGCACTCATGGAGTGACAAGCAGCTCTTCATACAATAATGAGCCATCTGACGTCGAGCCACAACTCAAAACTAATTGTAACTATTCTGAGCACAAAGCAGCACAGACACCTTTTCAATCACAAGGAAACCCACAATGCAGAATGCTATTATGAAAACAATATTAGAGTATCAACCTCACTACACTATATTGCTAAGTAAACTAAATACATAAAAAGTGTCTATGCAGGTGAGTGGAGCATGTCTTTATTATCAACCATAAAGGGGCCCTATTTCAGGTTCATATTTGTATCTACTATGACAGTGGCGAGCCGTCAGGGCCCTCTGTGAGGGCCTAAGATATTCTACAAAATAATATTTAAAAACATTACAAAAAATAATATATTTTTTAAATATATATATTTTTTGTTATATTTTTCATTAGTTTTACCAAAATAACTTGATTTAATTGTATTTACAATAACATTTCCAAAGAAATGAATCCTTCAAATCTGCCTGTTCAGTTTATATTGGAATGTGAAGGGTTAAATGCCGTCTCTGCAAGTTACTGTGTGACACGAAGGACTCACAAGAACTCAGATGCACGATCCAGTTGACTTCAAAAATATCTTTTATTTATAAAATACTTTTCAAAACAAAAGATCACTAGGCTCTACTAGGATTCTCACAAGATCTCTAGGTTCAACTAGGTTGCTCAACAGATCACTAGTGTTTACAGACATGGACTCGACGTGGAGACAAGACGAACCGACAAAAGACAAAAGGAGAGCAGGGCTATATATACACACAATGGTTAATGGGGCACAGGTGAAAACAATCATGAGCAGGGGCCCACAATCAAGCTGGCAGGTGACACACAACGACAGGAAGTGTAGACACCTGAAAAGAGAGGGTAGAGTCAATATCAAAATAAAATGCAAGGCCACAATAATAAACACAAAAAAATAAACTACTGTAAAAGAACTCTAACGCTGAAACCTTACACTGTGAAGACGGGAGAGGTTGTTGGTCCCTCTCTACATTCACAGAGGGCCCGCTATGGTAACTCAATGGGAGAGTAATGTCAAATGACAGTACAATTGACCAATCATATCTTCCCTCTAAATGGGTGGGTGTTATTATCGCGGACTTTATGACAAGTTCCGCCCGCTGTGAAACTTTTCTTGTTTCCATAGCAACAACAACTTCCTGTCAACAGCGTTAACTCGCATTCAAAATAAAAGCATGCCAAATTACACTTAAGACATACAACTGCAACGAAAGTAACAAACACAATGCAATATCCTTTTCAATTTCAAAGAACACAAATAGGGTTATTTACAGGTGTTGTTTTCTGTGGTAGAGGGTCGCTTTCATTGATGCGTTTTGCACCCCGGGCCGTTGTTTTGATATTCCGCTGAAGTATACGCTGTGACGTAATAACTCGAGGGAAGGGGTGGGGGGCAGAGGGCCTAGGTATAAAAGTCACGGCTCGCCACTGTACTATGACATGATTACATGCTTTAATGGTCAACAAGTGCTTTACTTTTCTCTTACAGCACCTCTTTTGCCCTAGATGGCCGGCTCTGTTGTGATAAGCTTAGAGATGTCTCGCCCCTTAGCCTCTGTTTGAGCGCTAGTGTTAAACAGTAATGTCACTATGTCAGAGAAGAAAACAAATGTGTCCAATCGAGGCGACCCCAAAAAGCAAAATAGGGCCTCTTTAAGTCTCCTTTAAATGTGTGACTGTTAAAGCACAGCACTGACCGAGTTAACAGGATGATTGCAGTGCAACTCAAGTCACACCGTATTTAACCATCCATCTTCTTCCTCTACATATTTCACAGTACAGTAATCTGCCTATTGACTTAAAAATATGATGTGTGACTTTGAATGATCAGTCTGGTGATATTTCACATTTTTCTTTCTTCAAAACCAACACTATAGTGTGGCTTATTGCTCTGCGCCTTGGAGTTCTGTTGCTGTCTATTAAAAACACATCAGTGAGTCACTCTGTTGCACTGGGTGACATCTTCCTTTGACACCGCGAACACAAACAGATATACACACACACACGCACGCACACACACACACACACTGCACATACTTGCCTGCTGCCAGAAGTACTAGTAGCTAGTGCAGCAAATATGTTTCTTTTCACCCCTCCAATAAAAACACCATTAAACTACTGTTAAAGAAATGTTAGCTAAAACCACAGTGCCCTTCTTCTTCAGTGGGAACACATGGCCTTGGAGCTAAGTAGTACAGACAGCACAGGTCAGCAATAAAGTATTGAGATGCACACTAACACATTGATAAGTCTGTCTGCAGAACAGGAAGAGGGACATATTTGTTCCAACAAATGCAACCTTCAGAGGATCTATCAGTGGAAATGATGACTGCCATGTCAAGTAAACACAAGGAGGAAAGGATGGATCCAAGGAACAACATCCATCTTATGAAGGTCATCGAAAATACAGGATATTATGCGATTCAGAGTCAATTAATGATGTACCATTGTATATAATAGATAACAGTGACATACACACATTCCGTATTTGTTCAAAGCACAACTCACCAGTTTGAAGATTTTGAAGAAGTCCAGATTGTCATACAGTTCGTCCTCTACCCTCTGCAGCCTCGTCTGGCTGAGGGCACACATGGCGTTGCGGACCCCGTGGAGCCCCATGCGACTCGGGAAGATGATGAAGTGGTCGAGCAGAGCCTGGCTGCAGGCGATGTCTTTCAGCTGCAGGTCCGGGATACCAAACGCAAACTGGGGAATATAAGAAGGGGAATACTGCGTTTATTGTGGGATATGTCTCAAAGATTAATATCATTACAATGAAATCTGACTGTTATTTTGAATATATTGATTGTTGTGCTTTTATTTATGTCTTAATGTGTGCATATGAATAAATATGTCTTTTTATAAATATTTTTATATATATTTGTATTTTTGTATTCGGGATTGTGGGAAGGGGTATTTCGATCTCTCTGTCTGTACACACAAACTGAAAGATTGACAATAAAGTTTGACTTAATATTGGTTATAAACAACAGAATAATATGTAAGTCCTTCAGTATTCTTTACAAATCAGCAAAGATGATTTAATATCAGTCCAAGCTTCATCTTATCCCACTGCACCTGTTCCAGTCGTATTTCTGCATTGACGAACTGGTGGACAATAGACTCTGAGAGGCCGACGTTTTGCAAGAGGAAGGCCGTGAAATTCTCATCATCCTTCAGAATATCATCAAGCTTCAGCCCACGACCTGAAACATCAAGAGATGAGATAGTGAAAGGTTAGAGCAACTACATACAATATTGACAACAGTCTGGACTACAGAGGAAATAATTGGCAGCCAGACAGTCTGGCAGCGGAAAGAAAAGTCCAGCTAGAGGATTTGTGTTTAACGCATATCCCTGCCAAAACTTTTTGAGGTCATTTCAAATGCAGTAATACTCAGAATAACAATATTATATTCTAATTGAGGAAATAGATGTTTTACACATTGGATAAATGACTCCATAGTTTATTCTGTAGCTAAAACAATCAAGTGATTAACTCAGTAATAAAATAAAAGATATAAAGTGTTTATCCAGCAGTTGGAACATCTGAAGGATTACTGCCATTGGAAGCAAACTCATTTAGCAAAATGGACCGACATCAGTGGTGACATTTAAAGTAAGACACATTGTGTTTAAAAAAAAAGGAGAGAAAGTGAGGACCTATTGTGACGAACACAAGACATGAAACACCAACACAAAGAGGATGTGTCGAGAGTGAAACAAACAAAAAGGTTAAGATGAAAGTGTTGCTTCACTTCCCTGTCAGGATAGCATAAGAGTTTATAAAAAATTAAAGACCCTTTTTTGGGGAAATGTTGTTTACCTTTGGTTTTGTATCAAAGACTGATTTGTATGCTTTTATTTTATAGGGATAGTCGAGACAGACAGGAATCAAGCCAGATACTTAGGTCGTTTAAACCCATGTGGTCTGCACCCTACCAACTCGGCTCTCTGCTCGCCCACAGCCTCTTTCTCTTCTGATAACAGGGTTGAGAAAAAAGGCTTCTAATAATTATTTTACACTCAAGAGAAGTGCTTCTGTCTGAAACCTTTTGCGCTTTACCTAACACCACAGATGGGTCGTTGCGTAACGTTTCCATGATGTTTGAGAAGGACGACATTTCATGCCAAAGACGGCCGATCCCCTGGACCTCCCTCTCCTCCAGCAGGAGCTCCTGGGCATCAACATAGAACCGTGCCAATCTGAAGACAAGTAAAGAAAAAACACAATGAATTATTCAAATTAATTACATTTTCTAGATTATATACAGTTTTATAGTGCATTATCTCATTTCATACAAGCCTGGTGTATCATTTGTAATCAGCGCTAGAGCACTTGGGTCTAATTACGTCTGATTTAATTTTTAACCCAAATTACATCTTTATGAGGTTCTGTGGAGGTCTCTAAGGTTATAGAGATGCTTTGATGTGTCTTACACTGAGTTGTTGTAGTTGGAGACAACACCCGGAGACTCTCCTCTGGTGGGGTATCTGAAGCAGGGGTTGTTGACGTTGCAGAAGATTCCCTGGATCCAGGGCAGAATCCCTGCTGACGGCATGGCCTTGTTTGGGAAATGACCTGAAGAAACAGACAACTCACCTGTGAAAACTTGAAGGCTCGTAAAGTGATTTTAAAAGAGTTGCCTCAAGGTTAACATGTGTTAATCCCTCCAGCAATTTCAAATTAGTGTAGCGTCTTGATTCTAGAATAATTTGTTCAAAGAAATCACTAAAATCGCTTGTTTAAGAAGAGCTTTGTCTTACATTCATGTTTCTGGTACAGTGGATTGGCCTTCCTCAGCCACACCAGACCAACAAATAACAACACAGGCCAGCAGATCTCAACTATGAAGCGGCCCTGGACAGAAAAAGGAAAGCAGGGTTAAAAACACACAGAAACGGTTGGAAATCTGTAAAATTGTATGCAATCCTGAAATGTATCATATTCAGAGAAAGCTGTAGTCTGTGGTGTTATTTTTATCCAAGGTTTTGTCTGACTACTGTCACATAAATGCTACCTTCTGCCTCTTGCGGAGGGTCCAGTTTTTCCACAGTAACAGGCGGATTTGAGAGCCTGTCTTCATTGCTCTGCAGCTTCACCCCTGGAAGGGGTCATCAGACTGTGACAAACCTGCAGATACACAACGCTCCATCAGTGACCACACACTGCCGTTTACTTCTCACAGAGACACTGGACAAACTTGGGAACAACTGACACAGAAAGAAATTGGACTACAATTCTTGGGTCTGGTCTTGGGACCACTAGGGATTTCTCATTATCAAACAAAATATTGATGTGAAAACACATTTTAAACTGCATGGTCCACTTTTGTTTCTGTTGGTTGTTGCTTTTTCAAAAGTCTATATTCGGTCTACTACTATCAATCAATCCTATAGATATATGGAAAATTAATTACAAACGATGCTTTCCCCATTAGGAATGCAAGTGTTTTGTTATTTGTCTCGAGTTGCACTGACTTTGATCTATATTTGGTTTTGGACCTGACTTGACTCAAACATGAAGGTACCTGACCTTAGACCTTACTTGGATTTGTTTAAGGTGGTCTTGACTACAACCCTGGACTAACCCTCTTACAAAAACACACCCTGCTGAAGTGCTCCTGAGCAAAACACTACCACCCATTAAGGTGTTTTGTTCAGCCATGTTGGCAGAAGGAGATTTCTCTGCAGGAAAATAAAAGTCGAAACATTATCACAATAATAAAAATGCAGTCGAGGTGATTTATGAATTCAATTTGCACCTGCTCTATCATACAGACTTACACCAAAGGACAAACTCATTTCCAAATTGAAAACAACTTCAAATGCCAATCACATCTACAGGTTATGTGCAGTGGAGCTCAGAAAATGTCAGACATGAAGAGTAATTTGTTCAGAGTGACATGTCAACTAGATTACCGCAGACTAGCAGACTGAGGAGGCAGGGACAGAAATACCAGAAAAACAAAAGGACAAAGACTGTGCGACTACAAGAGGAGAGTGAAGGCTTCCATTATGTCTGACTTCTCTGAAATAACCTTATTGTTACTCAAACAGCAATTACACATAACGGGACTTCCTTGCACAGAAATGTGTAGACATGTAAAAAAACTGCATCATGCTAAAGTAACCGATACAAGAAGTCATAAGGGGAAAAACATTTTAAAAAAAGCATCGACCAACATCTCTTTCATTTCATTATGTTACAAGCATTTACTGTAATTAGCTATTATCAACCTGTCAGCGTATACAACATCTTACTATTTTGTCAATAAAGCAAGTTCCTTACCTCTTATAGAATGATGTAAAAGTCGTACGACATCTAGAGAAACAGGTTCACAGAGCAGCTGAAGTAGTCCCAAACATTAAGCAAGGTAAAAGAGCTGTGTGTGTCTCCTGGCTGCCCACACTCTCTCTCTCTCCTCTGCCTGCAGGTCAGCAGCACTCCTAATCTGATTGCTCTAATCTCCCAGCTCAACATGGGCAGGCAGAAAAAAGACAACAGTCATCCATTTTGAAGCAGAATTAGGTGGATATCTGCTGGAGAAGAAAGGGGGGATAGAGAGGGAAGACTGCTCTGTGCTGAGAGGGGTTACAGGATGGATCACAGTAGGAGCTAAAAAGGTCTGTTCAAATGTCCAGGAGAAAAATGTACCTGCAGTCACTGTCTCTGCAGGAAAGTTCTCCAGGTTAACAACTTCAAATTTCATTTTTGATGCCGTTACATGAGAAAATCAGAGGTGTTTTTGTGTCGTACCTGTCTGAAATGACTCGAGGTGGAGGAGTGATTAGGTCTGGAGAATGTGGAGCCCTGACAGTTTGACATTAAAAGCACTTGAACCTGCTGAGAACCATGGACAAACCGACACGCTTAGCCGAAAACCAACGTAAATTATAGGCTTAGCCCCGCACACAGCTCAGTGTAAACCATGTCACACAACTCCAATGTGTCATTCTCAGATCTCAGTATAACAACTAAAATCTCACAGGATCCATTAAATGTATTGTATTTACTTGTTTACAATGAAATGTGTTTTAGATTGACTTTTAAAATCTGTCCAGGGACTACAGATGAAAAATAGCCTCTTGGCTAACTCTGGCAGATTTACAGAAATGTTCATTAATGTGCACTGTCCCTGTTAAATAAATGAATAAATAAAATAAACATGGGTTGAATTAGGGCTGGCCGATAAGCAGAACATCTTTTATTATAAAATCTATTATTATAATATATTTCACTAAATACATCAATAGTGTAGAAGATATTTACAAAATGAAGGAATCATTTATAATGTGGAAAAGTTGCTAACTGGCAAACAATAATAATAATAAACAGGAAACATGTATTTACTGAAAAAAGACCTTAAGGTATATGACCATGATCTGACTTAGACGATATCAAGTCTTATTTCACAATATCAATGTAATGTCGCCCAGCCCTAGTAGAAATACAAAATAGGTTGCAATATAACAAGTAGTGCAAATAAAACAGTAAACTTTTTTCTACAGGGCTATAAAAAAAGAAATAGTTAGAGATATATCCTCGGTTCTCTGCATGTACTGAACAGATATTGGAATGGAGGTGAAACGTTTCTAAAATTCTTTGATAATCTAGTTCTGCTTTTCTGTGGAAATGTGCTTTTTTTTATTTTAGGAGTTGGTTGGAAGAATTAATTCATTCTCAAGACATTTCTGTTGGCTCTTGTGACGTATGATTTCACAATGTTCTGTTGTTTCAAAGACCAAAAGGTGAGAACTTAAAAGAGAGTGAAAATGATCAGCCCTATATCGGCCACTTTTCCATCGTTTCATTCTCCAAGTTGTCCAATACTGCCATGAATTTGAATGCATACAGGTTTGAAATACAAAATAGGATTCATTTTAGAAAAGGAGACAGTAATTTGGTCTGTTAGAATAAATCAAACACATCCTGGTTCTCTGAGGTATTGAACAGTAAAAAGTAAAAACTCCTTTGGAACAGAAGTAACAATTACAAATACATTTTTAATTTGCATCAATCACTGTTGCATGTAATTTTTTTCTGTATGGTCACAATAATGCAATGGAACAACATTACTGTGACGAACATGCAGTATGTAAGAATGGATATAAAAAAAACGTAAACAGATACATAAGGTTTACATACTGAGAAAAGATGTACCAATCGCAGGCATCAAAGGACTCATTTGAAAGAGACAATGTTGAACTCTTTAAAATAAAAAAACCTCATGTTAAAAATACTTCCATCTGTTCATTGAAGAATAAAACTTAAGCAAATTCTAACATAAAAAGGCACATTAGAATTTGAACCTGCGTTAAGTGCATCGTGTGATTACATCAAATATAATTTCATAACAAATCAAACATTGTACAGGAACTAAGAGGTTCAATTCAAAACAAGGAAAATAATAGACTTACAATTCTTCAGAGACAGATGTCATGTTGTGGTTGACACATTTCTTTCTATCTTTGACATACAAATGGATAATTCATGTATTTATAACTTAATAGCACTACACATTCAATGTTGGCATTCGTCTGTTTTGAACGCTTGGGAGAGCAACCACTGTTGACATTTGGACTTGAATATGTAAAATACAATATATTAGTACTTATAACACTTTCATGGTTTATTTTCACAGGCCTACATTTCTCCCACTCAGCTTGTATTATAAAAAACGTCTTCCGATGTATACACTATGGCACGGATACAATAATATTTACAGATATAATGTGTGTTTTTTTGGCTTCAGACAAAATGTGCCTCTCTGTGTTCGAGCTCCTGCGTCCGCCGAGGGCGAAGTCTTTGGTACACGGGTTTAGTCTCGCTGGGGCTTAAGTCGTCGGGGCTGCTGGGGGGTGGGGACTGAGGGGGGGACTGTGGGGGGGAAAGGCTGGCAGAGGTTGAGAACCCGGGGTCAATGGCGCTGTCGACGGAGTCCTGAGTCTGGAGCCGAGTCAGTGGGGGGCTCGTTGATAGGGCAGGGGATGAGGAGACTACCTGGGCAGTGGTGGAGAGGGCGAGGGCGGGGCTGGCGGTGGTTGTGGTGGTGGTGACCGTGGTAACAGTTGTAGTCCAGTTGGGAAGCGTCCTTGCCCTGCTGTTAAAAGAAACGGGGGGCTTGTAGAAAGTTCCAGGAGGCGGCTGCAGAGTTCTCGGCGCCCTGAGCGTTAGCGGGAGTTTTGGCGAGCTGCTAGCCTCGCCGACAGAATTATCCGAGTCGCTTTCCCTTTTATAAGTCCAGACCGGGTTTGACACTGTGTAGGGAAGGGTGCATAACATGTTGCTCACACTACTTGAAGTAGGGACTGTAGCTGTTAGCGCTGGGCTAACAGTAGCGGTTATGGCTGGGCTAACTGTAGCTGTTAGCGCTGGGCTAAGAGTGACGGGCATGATTGCTTTCACAGGTTGGATTCCAGTGCTGGCAGGTGGGAGGTTGGCCATGATCTTAGCAGTCCTGGGTGTGACATCATAGTGCTTGTACTTCCTGTCCCACGTTCTCCTCTGCATGGACTGTGTGTCCATGAAAGGAGTGATGTAGTAGGTGCTAACTCTCGACGAGCCACTTTGGCGGGCTTTCTCTGGCTCTGGTATCTCCTGAATAGATTCAGAGACGCGTTCAGAGGAGCTGGAGTCAGTTTTAGCAGCAGCGTTACGGTAATTCCTCTCGCTGATGTGGGCGGGCGCGGGCAGGCGTTCTAGCGGCATGCTGATGGGTCGAGACACGTGTCTGGCGCGCTGGGTGCGGAGCTGGACCTTTGGTGCCACAGCGGTGGTGGGGGGGCCGAACACTAAGGTGGACCTCTGCATGTCTCCTTCAGCGAGGGTCTGGACCCCGTTGAGTCTGTCCGAGGCCGAGTCCTCCGTTCTGTCCGTCCCCGGCTGCACCTCGTGAACCTCATTCATGATGTGTGAGGAGGGGATCACTGACGAGTATCTCTTGTACACTTTGGCACTCTGGAGGGACAAAAACAATTACATTACAATCTTTTCATCAGATTTTAATCTGTTTTTAATTAAGTAACCTTTGCTTCACATATAATATTTTTAATTGCATATTACTTAAAAAGTATTCAAATGATTTATTCACAGAATTCTTTTTTGTCTAAACCTGTAGCCTACTAGAGCTGCACTGGTTAATTAACTGTATAACATGTATTATATAACTTTTATGCATCAATGGCAGAACATTATATGTTAGCCCCTGAAATATGGAGATTTCCTGTCTTTCAGTTTTTTTCTAATCACATTACCAAACTAAATATCTTTAGGCTGTCAGAAAATAACCAAGAAAATTAGCTTAGTTTAGCATTTTGGGGGAAAATAATCTGCAGATTAATTGATAATGAAACAAATTAGTTGCAACCCTAGCGCCTACATTACCCACATTGTAACTTTCAGAGATCCAAGCCTCTAACAGAGAAAGGGATCTACAGAGGTCTGATAAACTCACTTCTTTCTCATTCTAACCTCCAGAGTTCTCCTTTTTATTTCTAACCTGCAGTCTTATCAGACTTTACAGAAAAGCCTTTACACAACTTTATATTGAAACTGTCAGACATTCTCTAATACATGATATGAGAGCAGCATTAGTCACAGCCCTAAATCCCTCCTCACCTCTTTGATATCCATCAGGGAGGCGGAGTGTCTGCTGAGCCGCTGCACCTTCTCTTGCGGGGTGAGTCTGGGGGACGCCTGGCAGGATGTGATGTTGTCGGAGGCGGGCAGAAGTGAAACGTCAAACACCGCGTGGAAGTGGCGCACCAGCAGCTCCACCATCAGGGCCTGGTAGGGGTAGTCCACCAGCGAGGACAGGGACACCTCGGCGTCCGTCTGCCGGGGCTTCACCAGCGTGGGGCCGTAGATTATACCCAGATTACTCGCCGTCATCTTGTTCTCCTCCGCCTGCTCCGTCACTCTGTGGGCGGACGGGGTGACGATATTTATAAAGGACATTTTTCTGGTATTTTTCAAGAATTGTATTTTGGTTGTAAGTACAGACAACGTCTCACAGTCAAAGCTACACTGACATTCTGCAGATCAATATTTTGTAAAGCTTCAGTGACAACAGTCTGAATAAATACAACATGCTTTAAACCGATTCTAACCGAAGCCCGTTTCTGACATGTGATTATTTATAAGTGTCTGCAATTAGTCCTATATTTAAACACAGAGCTAAATCCCAGATCAAAAGCACGCTGAAGCCTCTTTGAGCACGTTTTCTCTCACTGATGGTGCTGTTATGTTAAATGTTTGTGTTTCATGTATTGTGTCTTGATACTTGTCTGTTGATGTTGGATATGGAGCTGCTGTGACGCAAGTCAAATTTCAGACTTGATCTGACCAATAAAGTATGATCGTATCGTAGATGTAAAGGACATAAGACCAGAATAGTCATTCTAAAAATATTGGAGCTGGAACCAGATTTAAAAACTAGACTATGAATAGAGCATGTGTATAATGTTTGTGTGTTCTACTTCCTCTATGCTATAGGGAAGTCTCTACTTCCTGTTTTGTCTCATGAGGAAGTTTGTGTACAAACTGAACAGACAGACACGAATCCTTCCAATGAGTTAGCATGTGTGTTCGTTAACAGCCCTTACTTGTGTAGGTGAGCTATAAGGAAGCGCAGAGTCCTGTAGTTGGCTGCAGGCAGCTGGCGGAGAAGGTCTCTGATCTTGAAGAGGACTCTGTTGAGCCCGACGCTGGCCCCCCCCTTCTCTCCTATTTTAGGTTTATCCGCCTCCTCCACTATCACTCTCTGACACTCTTTGGCCAAGCCGATAATATCGTTGTAGTAACGATATAGGATCAAGGGCTCTGGTAGCTGCACAGAGAAGGGAAACAGTGATGTGTTTAATGCTCTTAGCAATGGAAACTACCAGTGTAAGTACACCAAATAAAATGCTTATTAAAAAGAACAAATAAAAGTAAAAAGCCCAAAAACGACATCTAAAAGTTCTCCAATCAACTTAAATAACTGATTTTATAATTAAAAACAAACTTGGTACCACAATATCTAATGTACACATTATTCACATTTAACTGTTTAACTGTCTGAGAGCATCTTTAGACCCACCTGTCTCAGGTAGAGTTTGAGAACATTGCCGATATCGTGAGGAGAGAGGTCGGACAGCTCAACCAAGTCCTTCCCGTTTTCAAACGCCTGACAAAGCTTCTCCACGCGTGATTTGGCTCCGTTCACACGATAAATCCCCTGTGAGGAAAAAAACAGGATAAAGGATTGGTACATTTGACTATGATCATCATTTTAAAAAGGGATGATATCTCCAATGTGTATTGCTTGAAATAAGATAACCCAAGATAAAAAAGATGAACAATTTCACTGTGAAAGAAAACTCAGTTCACCTTGATGTTGAGGGCTCGACTCTCAATCTCAGACGTGCACTTTTTGATGATGAAAGGGATGCCATCTGGACTGTTCTTCGCTGCTTGTGTAAAGTCGATACCAAACAGCTGCAGTCTGCCTTGCAGCTTTTTATGGCCACACTGGATAGCAAGCGTTTCTAGACACTTCTTATGGCAGGCGAGGGAGCACTGGGGGGAGAGAAGGAGAGAGTTACATTCAGTAGTATGAAGTGGCCATTTGATTCTCACTTAGATTAAACTAAATCCTACAAATGAAATAACAGATTTACTTTTTGTTTTCTTGTTTAAGGTCTTAGCAGAAATGTCGGCCGCACAGTGGAGACACATAATGGCTACATATTTCAGTTTGTTGTCAAATAAATGTTGTTATTGCTGCAATGTATGAAATACTTGGGCAGCTATACAATTACACTAATTCATTTATCATTAAAAAGTTCCATGTCCTCTTAATGTACTCTGCATGCAAGTAGTCAGCGCATTTGAACAGCTTATGAAAGAGTATTATGTACTGTACCTCCTCGCACTCCGCTCCATGGAAAACTACCAGGCTGTCACACTCTCTGCACTTAGATGGAGCTCGTAGTTTTCTCAGCTTATGGGTTTGAGAGGCTTTGGACATCTGAGCGTTTCTGAAGGGACCCGGAGAACTGGCCGTCTCCGTCACCATCTCTGCCAGACCTGAAAATCCGATCCAAAGATGAGGGAACACGCCAGACAGGTGACTTCCAGTTCCTGTTAGTCGAAAGCAGAGACAACTGAACCTCTGTGAGGGCAACTAAGAAGCCTTTGTTCAAGTCACGTCACTACATATATTATAATTTGGAGTAGTTGATATTTACTGGTTGTAAAATGATTATTTCAGACCTAAAGTCAGAAATATGATGAAAGATATGAAAACAGAATAGGTACTTCAACTTACTGTAAAACGCCTTTAGGTATTATTTTATCATGATGATGTCATATAAAAATGGCAAAACAAAAACACAGATTATATTTGATGCATAACTTTACTTCATTATCATGAACACAATTACAGTTCAATTCACAAGAAACGATTACAAAATGAGGTCAGTTAGGAGAGCCAGTTTGCGGCTTCCATTCTCAATGAAAGAATAGACATACACACTGACCCAGACAGCGCCTCATATATACAGGAAGTGTGAGCTGAGGTCATGTGGCCAAACTAACATGAACCCAATCTGTGCAAAATCTGTCAAGTGTAAAAAAACATTTGATGCTGAGCGAAACCCACGGGAAAAAAACATCCTTCGAGTCTTGGTGTAATATCTCCTTTTTTTTTCGTCTCTTGCATAGCTTCCCTCTCACACAACACACACTGCCGGCGCTACTGCACATACATTCCTACAAAATTGATTTGTGTACAAGTATTCATCTGCCCGAGGAAAAGGGGTCACACGCATTACCGTTGTCTGAAGGCGATGGTTGCTCCCTCTCATCCAGGTCATCAGCAGAAGACATGGTGCCAGTGGACGGAGTCCTCGGCAGCCGTCGCTTGAAGTCACCTGACGGGACATACACAGGTCATGAATTTGTACATACAAATATCCAGTGACTAATTTAAAAAGAACAGTTTAACAACAGATTTGCACAAGGACAGTATCCCGGTGCAGAGAACAGATTGTGCTGCTACGTGTGCTACATGCAGGGTTTCATATATCAAAGCTTGGCTGGCACAGTGTGGCAAACAGTTTCAGATATAGAGGGAAGTGCACTTAGAGATGAGTAGTGTGTGGGTCTGTTGTACAATGAGGAAGTTACACAACAATTATTATACTTAGAATAAATAAATAATGTGCACCTTCTTTTACTTCTGTTTTGATTTCGATATTGAAGTCAGGCTATTTTCAGATTTGTATTTTTTTCTTTATCATCTTTAATAGTTTGGGTGTTTTTCCAAATTGATTTCTTGATCTCATCTACTCAAATGTTACCTTTCTTTGTTGCCTGTATTTGTTTATATAAAACCATTTACAAATACCCTAAAGACCTTTATATTAATGAAAAGAATAGAATCCTCTTACCTGGACTGGCGGTGGGGGAGTCCATGGACCGGGACTCGCTGCTGCCTCCTGCGCTCTCCGAGTCGCTGCACATCCCGCCCTGGCTGCCCTGACTACCGGAGGCCCAAGCTCTCAACGTGGCCTGGCTTCTCAGCGCTGCAAGGAAACATAAAGACCACCAGTCACACACACAAGCAGAATAAGAGAAGAAAAAGAAAATCCAGCTCAAAAGCAGCTTCCCATTTAGTGATATTCTTAGCGTTGGTTTTGGTTATTTCTAGGCAGGTCACACGTATATTCTGGACTTATGACGCGTAAGCCGCACACAACGGGTTTGATTTAAGTCCTGAGAACATTTCCATGACTCAGAACTCAGACCATGAAAAGGCTCATAAAAGGTGCTGAAAAGACGCCTGTGAGCTTCAGCCATTTTGGAGTTTGGGAATCATCCATAATCGAAAATACTGTATATTCATGTATCAAATGTGATCTTGTCTTCAAGTCAGCTGTTATTCGTAGCAGTTTTGAATTCATCGTGTTTCCTTGAATTGCAAATCAGTATTTACTAAATGAGAGAGTACCTGGTATGTCGGTGCTGCTGTTGGACCTGCGCTCGCTGATCTTCGCAGAGCGTTGAAGGGCACAGTCCACCTCGTCTCCGCTCAGCACGTCACCAGAGTAGATGGATGCCTGCGACAGGTTGCCATGGGAGGAATGAGTGCTGCCCACAGACCTTTTGTTGAACACAAACCTGGGGAAATAAAGTCAGAATGAAAGGTTACGTGATGAAGATATATATTGTTCCAGAGTCACTCGAATTTGATTTATTACAGTGTGGGGATTTGACATGTGACTCAACTTTTACTTCTCCAGGCACTGAGACTTTTGGATTTCAGTTTCTGCCAGATAATCTGTTTTGCTAACACCCACCCCCAAGACTCCAAGCAGCAAACTTGGAGCACAGTGTTATAAACAAGCAAGCATTTACTGACATTATATTACCACCACTTCACAACACACATGTAGCACCTTTGCCCTATTAAGTGAGCCACTTCATTTCATTGGAAGAAAATGAGCCCCTTTCTGTCTATGACAGGCTAACATAAGCTGTTCTGGAGACCCCCCAAGATTTTTTTATAATTCCATAGTTGCTAACAGATGTTAATAAAAAACCATGAAGTCAAAAAAGTTCCATTTTATTTGTAACTTCAAAGAATTTTCTGAAATGCTAGTTTAAGACTGAAAGAGGGGATTAGGAACAGAAACTGCAATAAGCCCAGCCGGTAGACCGTTGCAACATATAATGTCACATGAAACACGTCAGGAGCTGAACAATAATGAAAGCACTAAAGCATTAAATTTCCCTTTTTAAGCCACAAAGCGTTTTTACAGCAGTGTCAACACTTACTTACTTACAAAATACAATAACATCATCAATCTTACCATTAACTTATTACTGAGAAAGTGAAGCGTTGCTTATTTTCTTAGTGGTAATGAGGATATGTGTGTATGGGAGGCGGATTCTGCTTTCACAATCTAAGTCTTAGGGACAGCTCTAACCCCGAGCAAACTCTCACGCTCACAATCTCCCCCACTGCATTCAGCCTGCGCCACAGATATTTCCTGAGGAAGGGCAACAAATTCAACACGCATTCTGTCTCTCCTTGACTCTCTCTCTCTCTCTCTCTCGCTTCCTCCCACTCTGACTCACTGTTACCTTTGCTGAAAGAAGAGATTTTAAAATGAGTTACTTGGAGATGTTTTGAAACACTCTCCTCTAGGATTAAGGTTTCGTTCTAAAAATGTACTTTTTCACATTATGGCCTGCAACAAACTACAATGTGAGAATACAAATGGGGTTTAGCATAGCTTACATACTGAGACCTAATCCCAGAATCTTAGTGTAAATCCACAGTTCTTGGTACCTGGCATTGTCAGACGAGGTGGAGTCTGAGTGCAGACGCTCTTTAGGCAGATCTTTGGGCAGGTTACGGATGAACTCGGCATAGCATTCACCCGGTTCGTACAACTTGGAGCTCTCACTCAGAGCCTGGTAGTGAGCAGGGAGCGACACCGTCTGCGCCTGCTGCATCTGGAACCAGTTCACCGTCACCTGAAGAGAGACGGATTAGTTTGATGAATGGGGGAATGACTCATTTAATGAATGATTGAAAGAAAAAGGGAAATGAGCACTTTTAAAAAGACACAAAAGGACAAATACAGGCAGACAAACATTCTTTTATAACTGTAGCTTATTGCAATTTAATATACCGGTAAACAAACAAGTATTTGGTGTGAACTTCTAATGCTTGACAGATTTCTAAAATGTCTACATTTTTACTAACAATTTGACCAACCACTCCAGCTGTAGTAATATGTACAGTGCATGTCAAATGGCCGGCGATGTGATTACATAAGATTGGAATGTGTTTCTTTGCCTAGAAATGCCTTCTACTTGGCTTATCCAAGCACATATTTAGAGCTTTTCTATAATCTTAGAAATGTACAAAAAGGTTTTAGCAACAAAAGCTGCCAAACCCAAAAAGTAATTACATTGAATTGTAAACTTTGCTTTAGGAGCAAGTCATTTGTTCTCAATGTATAATGCATTGAAACTGTAAGATATGTAAATAACAACTAAACGTTATTGGATAATCAACTTCTCTCTCCGTAACTGGGCTTGTTAGCTCGTATCACGTAGTGCCCACTCACAGCTTTGAGTGTGAGGTCACACTGGAAGACCATCTCTCTGATCTGTGTGAGGATGGTGCTCTTGGCGTTGGCCAGATCCATCTTCCTGACGCCTGCGTCAGCCATGCAGCTCTGGTACTGATCCTGGGCCTCCTCCGCCTGGTCACAACAAAACACACAGAAAGTAGTGAGAATGTGGATGAAATGCTTCATGTCGATAATACGGTTTTCAGGACTATTATGCACTGCTGCAAAGACACGCTCCCTGGTGTGGGAAACCTTCAAACCTGAACATGCCTTGTGATATTATTCTCCCCTGCCTACCTTCTGCAGAGCCTCCTCCTCCAGCTTCCTCTTCTTCTCCAGCTGTTTGTTGCCAGCGGCAGCGTGCTCCTCCTGGGAGCGGTTGGTAGATGTGTGGGCTTTCTGGTACTCCTCTCTCCTCTGGGCTTTCAGCACTCGTGCTTTACGCAAGGTTGCCCCGGCCTCTTGCTGCCAAACCACACAGATAGACCATAATGTGATTACAATCTGACTTAGGGGTTAAACGGTTATCATAAGCATAGTCAGGCACACCCTTCTGGTTGTTTCACCTCACATGAGAAGTGACTGTAAACACTGCCAAGAGGGCTCTTTTTCTTTTAACCATCAGAAAAACAAGTGATGATGCAAATTGAAAATCTAGTTGGTGCTTTTGCCGATTTGACTTCCATAAATGGATCTATACTGATATTTATAAATGCTAAAAGGAAGATGTGCTTCATTGATTTTGAGCTAATAGGCTGTATTAAAACAGGGACATGTTTACAAACCATTTTCTTTTGCTCCCTCTGCCACTGCTCCTTGATGTCTTTCCTCAACCTGTCGAGGTCATTCTTACGGGCAAGAAGAGGCTGGAAAAACAATTCAATGAGGTACAGGATTTCAAAAGGTATTATTTTGTTTATTTCAAAAGCTTTCAAATTAAAAGTTAAAGTTAAAGCCTTGTATTGTCATTATACACAGAGTATAACGAGATTCAGAGTGCAACTCTGTCCCGGTGTGCAAAAAATACAAACAAATACATAACACGGCAATAGGACAGACAACATAAACAATCATACGGGGGAATAAATAGTTAAAAATATTGATATCAAAATAGTATATCAAGTGCATTAAAAGTGTGTGTATGTGTGAGAATGGTTACGGTTATTGCATTATGTGTGGTGGTTGAGCAGCCTGACGGCCCAGGGGTAGAAACTGTTTTTGAGTCTGTTTGTCCGTGACTTGAAGCTCCTGTATCTCCTCCCAGAAGGCAGGAGAGAGAACAGTCTGTGACCTGGGTGAGAGCTGTCCTTAATTATTTTGTTAGCTCTGCTGAGGCAGCGGGAGGTGGAGATGTGTTCCAGAGAGGGCAGGGGGCAGCCTGCCCTTATATAAAGATAAGTAGTAAGTTAGTTGATGAATTGTATCAGAAATGCTTGTTTTCTGATCTGCAAGTACTGTTACAGAATATTAGAGTCCCAGCCACACTGTAATACAATACAGGGATTTCATTTATGTGCACTCGTGATTTCCATTTCTCATTGTTACCTGAATGTATTTGTTGGTCTGAAGAGCTATTGCAGTTTGAGTAAGCAGCTGTTTGTATTCAATGTCGTTCTTGAACGTGGAAACGTAGATGTCACTGAATGGCATGTAGTCCTTGGAGAAAAAGATAATTAAATTAAATTGGCAATTCCATATATATAGATTTCAATCAAGGACAAGATAACAATCATATACTGCATACACATTATAAATAAAGTAAGTGTTTGTATAAAAATACTATTTTCTTACCTGTTGGCTGGCCAGTGTCTTAGCAGACTCTGCCATTTTGGAAAAACTTTTGGCATACTCAATATCTGAATAAAAGAGATACAAAAATGTAAATAATCAAGTTTGGATAAAACAACATGCACTCCATTTAATCTAATTCCATAATGCTGGAATTAAACAAGCAGATAATTCGGGCTTGAATGCTTCATGTGATTAATGAACTCAATATGGTTATTACATTAGTAAACACAGTATATTACACACACATATACATGTCCTAAACTAAACTAAATGAAAAGTACTAAATAGTTTAAATGGAACAAACAGTAACAAATGTTTTTCTGCTCAGAGTGCAAAATAAATTGCCATGACTAAATGGCTGTAAAATCTCACAAATTGTTCTGCCCCTGCTGAACTCAATTAAAAGCAAAAAGGCTTATAATGACTCAGGGGTCCATTTTAAAAACGCTGTTTCATTCCTGGGTCAAACACAATTTACAGATACCTCTAATGTCTTTTTAAACTGTACTGCAACACAAGATGGGTGTACATCTTTACTGTTTAGGAGTTATGTCGTTTTCCAAACATATCTAGTATATTCTCCTGAGGCAGTAACCCAATCCAGAGCTCCACGGTCCATAGTCTCCATGTCTCACCCATGGCCAGCCGTTTCTCCATCCAGGCCAGGAGGTCTTTGATGTACCTGGACCAGGCCTTGGCGTAGAGTAGAGCAGACTCCACGCCGCTGTCATTCTTCAGCAGGGTCAAGTCAACTTCTTCCTCTCGTGAAAGCGGCACCTCTGGACCTAGAGAGCCAGTAGAGAGAATCGAAAACACATGGTATCAAGAAAATTGCCAGGAGTTGGATTGGATTGATGTGTCTCAGTTCTACTACCCCCAACAGACGTGTGTGGGAGGTAAATGGAAAAACACATTCAGGTTAAAGGTAACAGTGTAGGAGGATGTAAAAGTGCCGGGCATCTTTTCAAATAGCATTATTTTCTTTCTACTGGTTACACTGTGATGCACCTCTCCCAGGCATCCACCGTCTGATTCAACACAAACCCCATGTGTTTCCCATCCCACACGGAACTACTCCTAAACAGGCAAGGAATGTGAGATATGTGGCCGGAGAGGGGAAAACGAGCAGCTAGTATGAAAAAAGCAGCAGAAATAACTAGGGTGGAAGCAGAGGCTTAGGGTGGGTCTACCTCAGGCATTCAAGAGTCCAGCGCCTAAATCACTCCCCTAACTCACCATCTGACACTCGGGGCGGCCCCGGTATACAAAGCGACAATTAAATGCTTTTTAAAGCAGCCATTAATAGTCATTACTTTTCAGGTTTCATTTATTTCATTCTACACCCACGTTGCTCAGAGGTAAATGACGGAATGTGAATAACACTTACCCACAAGGTCATTTTTCTCTGACAAATATCCCTCAGGATCCAAAGAGAGATTGTCAAAAGACTGTGAAAGAGACATTTTAGATTATAAAAAGGGAATAGCAGACATACAATCAAAGTAAGACATCACAAGCAGCTGGGTGTTCAACACCCCAATTAAGTACAGAAAGCAAGTCTTTGAGGCTTTTTTTATTTTTTTTTAATAGAGGCGTGGTGCAATTGCCACTTTAAATGCACCCCTTTGAAAACTGTAATGTTTAAAAACAAAGCTTTAAAAAATAAACTGGTGTGAAAACTGGGAGAGAAAGAAGGTGTCTCACCCTGCTTCTCCTGGTCTGGGGGATCCCCAACCCTGAGCCGCCGTCCACATCTCCCATAAGGAAGTCAGAAACTCTGAAGGGAAGATGTGTAGATATATGTCAAAAGAGCTGTTTGATTGGGTGAGAATTGCAATGTATTCAGCAGCAAAGGGTTTCCAGAAATTCTACTGTGAAGTATGCTATTTGTTAACTTTGACAAAAGAGGTTGGCTGAAGTCAGCCCTGCTTTTTTTCTTACACAAAAAAGTAATAAAAGTCTAGTGGTGTTGAAAAGCTACACAAACATTGTACTCACACATTGCCGAAAGTGAATGCCAAAGTGTCAATGGATGTGTGTATCTCGCCAAATATAGCCTGTGCGTTTTCTGGGTTCACTTCCTTGAAGTTAATGCCTGTGGAGAGTGATAAAACACACAATAACATCAGCCAAAATGAAACTGTGTTACAAACCAGCTCATGTTCAATCCTTCAACAAAATGTATTAACACAACTAACATTGTATTTCATGCAGATTAATGCATGCAATTCCTCTCAAAGCAGTTGTTGGTTTTTTTCATTGCAATCCTAATTAATAGAGACCTTTTTTATCCGAGTGGCTTGTGTCTGGAGAGGTTTATCGCCTCTGCAAGGGCTTACGTTTTTTTAAAGTATGTTTTGACATTCTCGTCCACAGTGGACAAAGAGTTTAACCCCCGAGTGGTTACAAAGGGTCAAGAGTTTCAAAGGAAGCACTGTGAAAACAGCTTAAAACCATAAGTATTAGAGCAGAAGTTGTCCTAGGATATCGACCTGTACAGTCCATGTCTTTCGACCACATCAGAAATACCTGCTTCTTAAAAGCTTCAAGAATCTTCAAAGACGGATATTCAAGAAATATAAAAAAAAAACAATCCCAAAAGTTCCCTTCCTTTGTTCAAATGTGTTATAATCCCATTTGCCATCTTCCACGATGATCATGCACAGGAATGGTAATTGAATTGCACTCGTTCTTAAATGTAAGGTCTATTGACAGTCAGGCGTCCACTTGTTTTAGAACCATAAGCTGGAGAAGGTTTGCACAGAGTTTTCATTGTCGAGAACAGTTTACGCAGCAGAGAGAAATCAGAGGGAGAAGAGACAGTGAAATCCGACTAAGCCGAGTACTTCCTGCCTGGCCGCAACAGGAAACACTCACACAGCCTGAGATCTGTGCCATGTAACACTATATACAACTGCGACAACTCTTACCTTCTCTCTGTCACCTTGCACCTTTTTTCTATTAACTGGGACAAGTAGAAAAAAAAAAAAAATCTCTAGAAAGTTTCCAGTCGGATTTCTAGCTTTTGTGCTTCCATTTTCTCTTCATTAGAGCAAATTCCATCCATGTCAGTGGTGGGTGGGTGGTTGTAAATATCCAACCTATGACCAAGCATTTAAGGGTCATGGCATCCTGGGATGGAGAGGCAACCTTTACAATCCAGGGAGAATTCTCGAAGACACCAGAAGAGGGGAGAAGCCGATGTGCAAGCCTCCCTGCAGCGAACCTCTCTGGCCCTGAATGCTAGCGTACAACTCTGCACTGACTTCTTCCTCAGGACATCCTGTGCGTCTCATAACAATGATTCCAGAGCTCTGCCCCCCTTGTCAAGATTGAAATATGGAAACTGCATCATTCGAGTACAGGGGCCATTGTCTTCTCACGGTAGAGCCGTAACTGGGACCATTAGTGCCTGAAAAAAGTCTTTGATGAGTTAAGAGCATATCTGATAATCCCACCTTGACGTAGCTTAATTTCACCGGTGTGATAATAGCCGTTACAAACACACTGAAACATTATAGATTAATAAGTGAGGACAAATGAAAAGAAAATGTATATGCAAGGAGAAAATAGTTTTTATTATGAGTAAACTGCATGTTTTTCTTAGATAGCATAATGACACTGCCTGCCTTTGACATAGAAGTTGGCTTGCACTTGTAGTAAAGGGGGACAGAGAGCAGGGAAAGAATTTCAATATGTTGAGGAAGTTGACACTTTTATTGCAGTTCCCTGCAGTTTTTCAAAAGGAGGACGGGGGGAAAGGACACCGTCACAATGTGGCTACAAATAGAAACGTGTCCAGGTCTAGTTTGATTCGATGAGTCCGTGAAAAGATCATGTATTTAATGTAGAGAAGACATAAACAACACTACATGTTGTATATGTATTTTAAAACTGGTTCGACAACCATTTGTTTGGATGGGAAGGGAGGGGAGGGGGATTTTCCCAGTAAATTCTGGCAGCTGCCGAAATGCCCCAGGTGTTTTGAGCATCAAAGAGCAACATGAGTGAAGAGGCGACACACTCTGAAGACACTGAGACGCACAAGGCCTGTTATCATCCAAACCTTTGAGTCCTCATCTCTGATGTCTCGCTGACTCATTCCTCTCTCAGCCTCTCCTTTTCAGTCCTCCTCTGGCCCGGTGACTGTGGCAGCATTGTGTTACCCACTGGTCATTAGGGGCAGTCCAACCAGGGTGTGTGTTGATGTAAGACACCCCCTTGTGGACAGGCACATTCCCACTTGTCAACAACATATGCAGCTACTGAATTTAAAGCAAGACCAAATGGCTTTTCTTTTGCAAACTGCACGGCCTTAATCTACAGTAGCAGCATTATTATTATCAGTTTAAGGGTGTTTTATTTATGCATATTTTTGGAAATGTTAGCATACAGTATAATAAATATCTTGGTAATACCCACACATTTTGTAAAACCTTGAATCTGTCATCATATGTTTGTATTTAGGGATGCAGCAATACAAATGTTTTTTCTCTCAATAAAATATTTAAAGAATTGATGTTGATGTTTATGTCTCACTGCACTGAACTCATTGTAATCATTTTCCTGAGTTATAATGAGATCAAGGATGGCCATGGCTATAAAAGTAATCCTACATTTTCAAACCTTGCCAAGACCAAATATATGGTAGACATCTGGACACGAGCATCAGGGAAGAATGTAGCAACTAAATGAATATTGAAAAACTGAATTTTCTTCAAGGCACAAATATTGGATACCAAATCCGCTTAGTTTGAGTGCTGATACTGATTTCCCATATTTAATTGGTTAAACAATATTTCGTACAAGTCTTGTAGATGTTGTTTACCATAGGTGTTTCACTGGCCTTCGTAGAAACATTGGTCTTCAAACATGTGCAATAAAGGAGTTTGAAACGCGTCTTGTTATTAAAGTTAGTCTCAAAAACACTGACTCATCTGACACTGGATGTCTTTTGTTTCCTTTCGGCATTCTACACATTGTCAAAGCACTCGTCAATGAACCGCAGATGCAGACAGATATTTTTAAGCATTTTTGAGGAGTAGTTCATAACTCAGATATAGAGGTGAAACAGGTGCGTTTGTCAGACACTCTCACACCTCACGAAGCGGGGGAAAAGAATGAAGACACGTGGACGCGCTGGACCGACGAGCCGCCTGCCAAAGGGGCCCCGCGGTCGCTGAAATATGGAATGCAAATTGCAGTCGTGTCGACTCCGCTGTAGAGATTCTTGTGTGCAAGTCAAGTGAAGAGAAACCCTTGCAGAGGATCACATTTCTCGCAGAGTGAACTCGTGAGTTGAGATTCCTTTTAGTTTGTGTTCAATGGGGAGACAGGAAACGGAGCTGTTGCTGAAGGAGTATTCTCTTCTCATACTGCGCCCTTTCAGAAACAAAACTCCAAGCCAAGTATATCTAAGATCAATAAAATATAACCGCAGGGTATTTCCCACACGAGTGACTTCCCTGAACCAGTAATACAGCAATCAGAGTAAAAGATATTGCAGCATCATTTGATTGTTTTGACCTGTATGTCTGTGTGCATGCAAGTGACTTTCACTGACCTTTGACCTTGGCGATGACCGTGCCGGCCGCTCCGAGGATATCCACTGAGTTGAGGGTCTGGTGTTTGCTGATGACGGTCTTGAGGACGCGAAGTAACTCTGCCAAACGTTCCTGCACCACCTCCTGAAGACCTTCTAGATTCTCTGGGGATAAAAAAAAAAAGAGACAATGCAGGTTTAAAGTTAGTGAGGGCAACCGATACGTGACTACCTTCGAAACCCAACGACCACGCACAGTTTTCAATCAAACATTTTCATCTATTAGTCGAAATCACCACCGTCCCACTGCGTTTTGAGTCACAGGTGAGTGTGAAAACAATTCCACGCATTCCTTTGGTCTTGGCTGCACGTATTACTTGGCAAATATGTTGTTATTTTAAAGCTTTGATGTCTTCTGTGTCTGACCCAGATGATTTCCCTCAAGTCAAACGTGTTGTGTTTTATTTGCGTGCGTGGATACGACCCCAGATGATGTCTAGAAGACGGTTCTTGTTGAGAGGCAGTGACTAAGGCAGTTGTTGCGGCATAAAAGTGCAGTGATGCAACTTCTTTCTGCTTCCTCCAGGCGGAGAGTGACACCTTGTACAGCGGAAGAGGGATGTTTCTATGTAAACAGGTAGAACAAAGTCACGCTTATGAGAATCTCACACAGGTGGAGTTGATGAATACTCAGAAATGATGACGTGCTTTCTCTGTTTTTGTGGTCACGAGTGAACTCAAACTTGTACTCTAGACACGTCCCAGTCAACTACAAAGCCACCTATTGTATCTGTGCAATAGCTGCTCTCTCTTTCAAAGTCTTTGAGGTCTTGTTGTGTTTATTTGTTAAACTTTTTACAGCTTATGCAATAGAAAAAAACTTTGGTGCGGTGTCTGTGACGCAGTTTGTAAAACACACTCCAATAAAAAAGGGCACTCGTACTAAATTAGCATGAAGAAATAACGTTTTAAAGAGTTGACTGAAGTGGCACATATGGTAGCTGTTAAGCAAGCATACTTTTCTGCAGCAATCTGCTGACAGTGTGAGCGGGGGGGAAAAACAGTTGAGGAAGATATTGCATATTTCTAGCGGTTTCAGAAGATGACACTTGAGGAGGAACAGAATGTACAAAATGCATCCATCCCTTTTGGTTGCCAAGCATACCATGTCCTTTTGCTATGAGAGGCATGTGTTTCCCGTAGAACCACACATTACGGTGAGGAGCATTATACACTCCATCTGTATTTATGCGTTAAATGAATGCTCTAATTCACGACTTTATAGATGCTCGATTATGGCAAAAATCATAATCTCGATTATTTGGGTCAATAATTGATATCACGATTATTAAATGCGATTATCCATTGACTTTGAAAACATCAATTTATTGGCAAAAAAAAATGTGAACTGTATGTTTTTAACAGTTGATTACCCTGAACTCTAAGTTTAATTCAACTGAAAAACCAATTAAGAAAAAAAAAAAATTGTAATAATAATGAAAATATTATCGTTTTATTTCGATTACGTTGTTTTCGTAATCGTTGCGAGCCATAATTGTAATTGCGATTAAAATATGAATAATTGAGCAGCACTAATCCTCTGTATGGATTTCTCCAGAGAATTCAGACCGCACAGCAAACACTTTTCAAACCAGTGTTTTACAGACAATGTAGCTCTTTGGGTTAAATACAGCCAAAAGAAAATCAGTAAATCTTGACACTTGATGAGTCCGTCTCCTGCTCTGATAAAAGGCTAATCAGCTGTTGCTCTGCCAGTTGGCACCAAGACAAAAGGTGAGTTCATGTCTAACTCAGTGTTTTCAAAGTAGCAGGGACTCCGTCTGGAAACAGAAAAGTCATCTGTTTTTTATCAAGGCCACCCCACCAGGCAGCAGCAGCACGAGATGAGAGACTGAATTTATTGCAACGTTAAAAGGAATTACAGAGGGCATGAGAGTGTGTGTGTGTGTGTGTGTGTGTGTGTGTGTGTGTGTGTGTGTGTGTGTGTGTGTGTGTGTGTGTGTGTGTGTGTGAAGGTTCAACCAACGGATCTCAGCTACGCTACTAACTAAAGAACTCATCGAGACGCAGGAGTAATCCCACCGAGAAGCAAGTGAGTACGGTGACAAGTATATAGAGTTAACTTTCACGACCGACGATAACCAAAACAAACGCGGAATCGGAGTCGTGTCTCGGCTCTAACAAACTGTCGTCCGTCCATCCACTGTCAATGTGTGTTTTGCTATGTCGGTTATAGTTTTGTTCTTTGTTTACGGGACCCTACCCGAAACAAAGGTTAGGTCGTCCTAACGGAGTCCTGCAGGAAGACGGAAACAACGGTGTTGTAGTGCCGATAACAGGAGAATGGACGTGTTACACTAGGGGAGTGAAGAGATTTCTTGTCTACCAGATTAATTTGGAGGAAAAAAAATCTCGCTTTGCCTTTACCCAACTAGGATTGACTGCATGACGGAGGTATAGTCGTGGAAACAATCAGTACGATTCACCTGTAAGAGTCCACACACACCTGGAGTAATCCCCTACTTGTAAGAGTTTAGCACCATTTACCTCTTGGTGTGTACAGAAACTAGTGTATTTAGAAGTGCGGTGACTCGATGTCCTATTCTCCTTCCTCTCCCCGCATTACTTCCTGGTAACAGTCACAGCCATCCGGTCCCCTTGGAGTTTCAAAAACACAACGTCCCAGTCCGCTGGAGAGCGGAACCCGGTCCTTCCCGTCCACCTCGGGGGTGGGGAGACATAATGGCCGCTGCGTAAAGGAGATTAGGACCCCCCACCCCTCGCATCTCTGCCCCAGCCGATCAAGCATTAGTCGCTCTATCTGGGAACACAACGAGAAGAACACAGGAAACATTTAGACACAATATAAACCTCTCATAGGAGCTTGAGAAGATTACACAACACACCAAGGATGATCGGCTAGTAACAGTTTCCAAGAGAGAGCGCAACCGCAAATATAGGTACAGATACCGGAAGACAGCAAGAACACTTTTCACAGTGTCTACGCGTCCCGAATAGAGAGGAAACGCCTAATCAGAGAAGATGGTACGCAATGTGGTCGGTTACCTCAATCACAAAAATTTATTCTAATNTTAAAAAAATATATATATCCCAATGCCTTCCCCCCACCCCCTCAGGCCGCACCCCCCCAAAGCAGTAAACTTAGGGGATACACTGTACAGTATAATATAACTTTATAAGAATTAAAAAGTTGTATTCGGTGATACATAACCTATTACACAAGGTTTAACATATAGATGACTTTTTTAAATGAAAGGGTCTTCATAGCTTAACCTCCCTATTGTACACGAGTAGGTCAGCCCAGTCTGTGAGCAATTAAGATACTTGGATCATCGTTCATTCTTCACCCTAAAAACCCAGATTAAACTTTCAAACAAAAGAACTGTATCTAGCAATCAAAAAGGGGAATAAAGTTATCAAAACAAGGTCAAACGATGTGTGACAGCTCACCGCCATTGTTGCCCTTTGAATTGTGTGAGAGGATCTTTGCTCACTGCAGCGTGAGACAGCGGAGAGAAAGCTGGTCAAAATCAGTGGTGAGTGCTTTTGTCGTAACAATGGCATCAAAAAGCGCACTGGGAATTTGGAGGCAATTGTGGGGGGCCGTGCCATTGTTTTGGTAGAGATAACAGCACTGAGGCACAGAGCCGGGTTATATTGTTTGAAGGAGGACCCCCCCCCCCCCCCGCCATCGCCAACGCAGCTCAAGGCTCGTCTTTCTTTACCGTGGTGGGATGAGCCGGCATCCCAGCCACGCTTCACGCTCGGCCTGCTTCATTTATTCTCTGCGAGATCAACACCGCCCTCCCTTTTAGGAAAATATATCTACGGTAAAAATAGTTTGTGAAGGTTACTGACTGCCAGCTACTAAAACACGTAGGCAAAAAAACTGATGAAAAAGCAGTTGATGTTTGAATTTAAGACCGTGGAAACATTCAATAATTGGCATTTTGCTTGGAGAAATAGGGATTAAATAATGAAAGTTGTCTTTTTTCTGTTGTTTCAGCTCAATAACAGCCTTTAACCTGGGATGTTGCAACAGTCTTTTGCATGTGCCTGAAAACAATAGTAGTCATGCTTCTAGTTCCTATTTTGATACACAACTCCTGACAGCTGAGTGTTAAAAATACAATAATGATACGGGGGTTAACCTCTAACAGTATGTAACACTTTTAAATAAGGTCACCCATCTGGTTTGTTGAAAGCTCTCTATATTTACCGTCTTTCGTTTAAGATTTGTACCACTGTTATATGACTTAACTACAACAAGACCATGTTACCAGGCCCTAACCGTACAATATGTAGCCTAGTGTGCAATGCAACACGTTTAGAACATCTTTCATTCTGAAGGTCTTTTAAATCAAGAATGTGCTGCTCTGTATGTAAACACATGGAAATCAATGGCATAAAAAGCCCGTATAAAAAAAGCAGAAAAAAACAAAACAGAAAGTGTATCCACGTTCATACGTCTCGAAAAGTTACCAACTATTACGTAGCCTATACTATACTTCTATAATACATCATTCCCAAGGTTCACGAAAGGGATGGACCACCCAATATTCAGCCCCCATAGACTTAAAGTTGGTATTAAAAGTAAGCTTCAAGTCATTTTGGTTACAATGGATTCTACCGGTGACCAGTGTCCACAGAAAAAAGGGATATAAAAGGTCAAGAGAAACTTCTCAAACCAACGATCCAGAACAATCCACTTTGCTGCTGTCAGTCTGTTGCAAACACTCGTGTAACGTATTGTGTTGTTTAGGAGTATCGCTTTAAGAGAGGTGACTCAACTTTACACTCAAACATTTACCTTTGAAATGAATGTCTGCCCTATATTGTTGTGTGCATGGGGGTCCCATTGTGTCGGACAAAGCTCATTGTGTGTCTGGTGCAGAGAATCTAATCCAAATCTTCAGGTGGCCTGACAGAGGTTACAGCCCTCGCTCCCCCCACTGATAACAAAGGGCAATCAACTGGCCTGTCTGGACACGCGATCCCCCCCCCCCGACACGAAACAAGCCTGAGCAGCTCTGCTTTTGGTGACACAGCGCTGCTTGGGAAACAGCCGCAGGGTTTTACCGAAAGACCAGGGAGGCCCCGTTTCTCCATCAGGACCCCTCCTC